AAGCTATTATCTTTTTTCCCCAAAACTTATGCTTATGAGCAGGGAACGGATTTTATGGAAGTTGCCTTTTTTTCTGCTAAAGAGATAGAGTATATTCGATTAAGAATGTCCACGATTTAGCTTTCCCTGATTCCATATATACACATTTGATGTTGCCTTTTTTTGCCTTTTTTAAGATGTTTGCCTTTTTTTTGCCTTTTTTAAGATATTTGCCTTTTTTTGCCTTTTCTACCTTTAGAAAAGTAATTATAGCATTTACAATTTTTTTTAAGATTAAAAAATATACACATTGCCCATGCGGCTTATAGAAGCGCAAATTGGTGTTGGAAAAATCCAAAGCCGTTTTCTCAGCTAACGAAGGCTNTTTTTTTAGCGTTCCTCACGCTCTGGGCACTTTTGGCACGTGTTGACACATTTTTGACACTTGTGAGAGAGTAACTTATTTTTACGCTCTAACTACCGGAGCAGCCCGGAAAGCTATTATCTTTTTTCCCCAAAACTTATGCTTATGAGCAGGGAACGGATTTTATGGAAGTTGCCTTTTTTTCTGCTAAAGAGATAGAGTATATTCGATTAAGAATGTCCACGATTTAGCTTTCCCTGATTCCATATATACACATTTGATGTTGCCTTTTTTTGCCTTTTTTAAGATGTTTGCCTTTTTTTTGCCTTTTTTAAGATATTTGCCTTTTTTTGCCTTTTCTACCTTTAGAAAAGTAATTATAGCATTTNATTTTTTTTTTAAGATTAAAAAATATACACATTGCCCATGCGGCTTATAGAAGCGCAAATTGGTGTTGGAAAAATCCAAAGCCGTTTTCTCAGCTAACGAAGGCTTGGAGACAATAAGGGGTGTTGATAGAATTATAAAGGGCGAGGAAAACGCCCTTATTCCTGATAATATGAACGTTTCAAACGTTCCATATTTAAATTGGGCTCCACTTGTATCAACTTACGTCGAGCGCACATTTAGTACATTCAAGGCTTTTCTTCGCGAAAATCGAATGAAAATGCTACCAGAAAACTTCAAAATGCATCTTGTGGTTCATTGTTACTACAACTATACAGATTAAAGTTTTATGAGTTAGAAACCCGAAAAGATAAAATAGTCAAAGATTCGAAGTACAAATTTTTCATATAATGAAACTAGTTCATAGTTTTTCTCTTTTTACTTGTAATATAAATGTATTTTTTGATTGTTCTTCGTATTTTCTGTCTTTTAGGTGCCTTATTTTGCTTTTTTTGCCTTTTCCTGCCTTTTTTGCTATTTTGTTTTGCCTTTTTTTGCCTTTTTTGCAACACCTAGTGCCTTTTCCTGCCTTTTTCGCTATTTTATTTTGCCTGTTCCAGCCTATTTCGTTATTTTATTTTGCCTTTTTTATAGGTTTTTAGGTCCTAAAAATCCGTTCCCTGCTTATGAGTAATATGCACTGAAACGTCTTCTCCTACGATTTATTCAAAGTGCATACAGACCACCTCTTATTGACAGCATCGATATTATTAGCTAAGTATTTTGAATTTACGACATCTGTGCACTCATGATGTATGCATTTCTTTATTTGATAAAATTTTGATTTGAATTAATAGTTTTCATTTGAATATAATTGAAATGCTAGATACTTTGTTATTAAGTACGCGGCGTATACCACTAATTCAGGGAATCTAAAAATCTTTACTAGTTTCAAAACACGTGTTTCACCTTAAATACTACGTAGTGAAATTATGACGAACGTAACTGGTGTAGGTGTGAAATTGCGGAAGCATGACAATGTTTTCTTCGTTGGCAATATCAGTCGCGAAATTACTGGTTTGAAGCTTCCTTTCTATAAAAAAGTATTGTCGAGATTGTTTCACGATATACGTGAGAAAAATAAGAGCGTAAAAGAAAGTGTGTCGGCCGCTGTGGTGTAAAGGTAAGCAGTGCGCGCTTCCACTCCGCAGCATCTGGGTTCAAACCGTGTTCAAAGTAACATCGCAAAAAAATATAGAAAAAAGGTTTTTTCTTAACAGCGGTCGTCCCTCGGCAGGCAATGGCAAATCTCCTAGTGTTTTTCTGCCATGAAAAACAGCTTCTCATAAAAATACAATCGCCGTTCGGAGTCGGCGTAAAACTGTAGGTCCCTCCGCTTTGTGTGACAACATCAAGGCGCACGCCACAAGTCGGAGGAGAAGCTCGGCCAAACACTAACAAATGTGTAAGCGCCAATCTATTATTATATTATTATTAAAGGAAAGTGTGTGCACGGCAGTGAATGAAATTTTTGTATTTTGGGCGAAGGCTCGAATCCCCACCCATCTTAAAGTGAAATGTGTGCCAAAGATAGTGCAACTATATGAGAAGTGGCGTAAATTCCAAAAATCTAAGTCCAGAACGACAACAACAGAAAAAAAAGTATCGGGAGAAGTTCATAAAAAATTTAGAAGACCTGTTCGACGTAGCCGCTTCATTCATTAGAATCAATTAAAATTGTAGACGACCGACAGTTTCTAATTTCGCAAAGAAATCATGGTCGTGAAGGTTGTATGATTGGCCCTGATAGAAAACTTTCACAAAAAGAAAAAAGGAAAGAGGTAACGGATTGAGAAGAAAGATAACAGAAAGATAAGAAACCTCCAAAACCAACAAGGTAAAACAAGGAAACGTTTACATACTGCTAAGGTCACTTGCCGTTTTTGTATGCTATGACAAAACTTTAGTTTTGGGATTCGTTTTGAAGGTCTGAGTGAATGTTCCCCCTGGAAACACCTAGTTCCTCTGAATGCTAGAAAAAATATGATATTAGCGTGGAAGTAGAGGATGCAGGTATAGAGCGGCATAAAGGTGGACGTTTCTGCACGCCTCCTCCTCCTCCCAGAGGTACAAAACAATGTAGTTCATCTAGACTGGCTGCTGTTTTAGATAAGATTAAAATTATTGACAGAAAGGCTGGTTACTTACTATCCACGGCAGTAGAAGCTTTCGGCCAAGATCCCAATGAGCTAATACTTAATCGTACTTCAATCAGGAAGCAACGTGGTCAATTGCGAGAGAAAGGGTTCTTGAGTATCGAGAACACTTTCAATTTCCTGAGCCAAGCCCTTTAACAATACATGGGGATGGAAAGTAGCTTCCTTCCGTGGGCGAAAATAGATTGAACAAAGCTATCATCTGGTATGGAAGACAGGAACTTGTAAAATGTAATTTAAAAAGGGAACATGTTCGTAATGACTACAAAGAGTTTTTAGAGTTAACTGCATTGTATATGAGTGCTGCGTGTAATCTGATTGTGCGTTCCCCTGAGCGATTCATGGCGGCAAATCGATGGCTAAAGCCCTATGTTGTATGACTAGATTGAGATTATTACTGCGAGTGTATTTAAATGCATGGTTTAAGGCTTCACTTGCAATCCAAGTCCCACATCACGACTTTTAATTTTTACGATCGATGTTTGATTATATGAGCATCAATTATAAAATTAGCGAGGCAGCCGTAATAAAATTTATCGGGCACCTGTGATATCTGGCGCCTAAATTAGCTGCGTGGTTTATTTTCGGCACAGCAGTTTCAATTTCAATTAAAAATAGGATGGGTGAAAGAATACTCATGTTCAAGAAGAATCACAACAACAACACGGGTATATCCAACAAGTCGTTAGTCACCCTGCAGGAAATGTATCTAACTATAAGCTAACTTTAAGTTCATTAGGATGGAACTAAAAGTCACTATTATCTGTATGTTTTCTTTGACGAAAGTTACCTCTGCATTTGACGTAACTAACTTGTACCTAACTACTTTTGGACATAAAATATCAAGAGGAAAAACAAAATATTTTTTCATATTTGTTTACATATTCTGCTGTAGGTGGTCCCATATTCGAACTCCGTCAGACATAACTTCAAAATAATAGTATGAAATTTCGATTTTCCTTTTATTTGTCCTCAATTCGAAAAAGTATTTGCGAAGTGCAGGATATTTAAATAGAAACGCGTTTAAAGAAAACTATTTCCTGCATTACTCCTACATTACTTGTCAGCTAGTTTCAACTTAGCTTTTTGTAGCTTACTACAAGTTATATATTTTATAGAAATCCCGAAAAAAAACTAACTACAAGTGGGTTATATTTCATCAATTGATATTTTTTTTGCAACGCATTAATTCATTAAACGCGATAGCAAAAGAGGAAATTTAGAGGAACCAAATTTTGGAGGATATGTTCAAAAACCCATAATAAAAAGTTTCTACCTCTATAAAGGGGTGTCTGTACGACCTGAAACATATATGTAACACTCGTGAATCGTGTTATGTAATAGAAATTTTAATAACAACAATATTACTCCACGAAATTTAAGCGTTACATATATGTAACACTAGCGTTTAAATAGTTAACAGAGAGAATTCCCAAACTCACACAAATCGATATTTGTTGGTGCAACTACAAAGACATAGTAGCTATCGATAGAATTCTAGTTCACAACTAGGTCCCTGTAGGGTCCCTAACATGTGTGTCTTTTGGCGTTTTCGTTTCTACATAAAATGTTGCCTTCTCATCGCCCTCTTCTTAGTGTTTATGCGTAGAGGGCAAAGAGAAGGTTACATTTTTCTGTAGAAAAGAAATCGGCATTTGTTAAACGTTTTACTATTAAACTATTTATTTTTGAAAAAAAGATACTGTACGTCCTTTTCTAATTTAGATCGCAAGCTCTATCAATTTATGTACATATAATAAGTTGAAACTTAATCCATTAAAACAAAATAAAATGCAAAATACCTATATACTATGTAGTTGATTTTTCGAAAACGGGAGACTTTAACGACTGCGCGGCCCGCTTTAATGTGTACCAAATGAGTTGCAATTTTTTGTGGTTATGTCTTAGATCAAAAGGAAAAAATATAGTGGCGTAACCAAAAAGAATGTTGAAAAAATGGTTCCCTTATACTCAACGGCCACCCTAATGTACATACATGTTTATATTATTTGAGCCTTTTCTTATTCTTGCATACGTCATTCCAACTGCGATAGATCACGATGGTAAATCGCAAAAACGACGGGTTCTACCCAAGAAGAAGGCAATAACGACAAGTTTCTTTGATATCAGTAAAAAAGAGGACCAAAGTGAGTATTTACACTGTGAAAAGAGTTAGCTAAATATATTTCTATCAACATAATGTTGGGTAACTAAAATCAAATAATGTAACTATAACCAAATCAAGTGTTAAGAGAAACATATTTATATGACGTAACTAAACTCTTTCCGCAGTGTACTTTTACATTTTGCTCTACTGTTTTATCCTTTGATTTGCAATAAAAACAGGTGGTGGTAGTGGTATATTCGGCAACTCTTTGGAATGTTGCTTGGTTAATGATAAGAAACGTGATAGTAATTTGAAGGCATCATCGGAACGCGGCTCTAGAAACTCTATAGCAGCACTTTTTCGCAGCGGTTGTGGCAGTGAATCTTCAAGCAAGCTGAATGAAAATGTAAGTAACAGTATAGTTGCAAATAATATAGTATTGTCTTTGGAACTTATATATATTAAGGTGCGTTCCTATGAAAGCCTGCCATCGAGTACTAGTTTTCTGGTGTCCCCACATAGAGGTGATAACCGCTCTGATAGCGGACGCGGTAAATCGAGTTCGGCTTACTTTGGCCCTCTCTCAAAGTCTACATCGATGCAAATGTCACAAAGTCAATCAGATATAAGGCGTCGAAGTCAAGACTTTGATTTACATGGTTTCAAGCTGCAAGATTCTACTGATTTTAAGGACCTACATGAAACAAACAACAATTCATTGCAAGTACCTTCATTCATAACGTCGTGTATAAGATATCTCGAAGAGCACGGTTTGAACAAGGTTGGATTATTTCGCGTGAGCACTTCCAAGAAGCGTGTTAAACAGGTAATTATAGTTTTTGGACACCCGAGCGCACTTTTGCAAAAGGGTATTATAACTTTGTTCTCATAACGGTTGTTTGCAACAGCCTAAAGGAATCGAGATAGATATAGACATACACATATATACCAATTACGCAGATTGAAAGGAGAAGCCGATTTAGCAATGTATGTCCGTCGGTCCATGTACACGATAACTCAAACAAAAATTTAGATATCTCAACGAAATTCGGTATAAAGGTTGCCCTTCATTCAAGGTAGGTTGGTATTAAAACGGGCGAAATCGGACAACGCTAACTACGCCCACCAACGGTATTTTTGAAAAAGGCAAACAATACGATATTTTCGTAAATACTGTATCCAAATTGTTGAAAGTTGGAAAGTGAAATAGAATTTCGGCTTAAAATAAGACAATTATCGGGCATGTGCTACAATTCGGTTTCTCCGAGAACGTGCTGACATGTGCTCAGTTTCACTTTTCCGTTTTCGTTTTTGAACATCAAATCGCAAAGATCTGGCATGTGCCAGAAATCAAAATCGGCATATTTTTTCCATTTTGAAAACGCGAAGCAACGGCTTTGAGAAATTAATAGAAAATTGCATAAAACAACAGAAATGTAAGTATGCATCCATGTATAAGAACATGGGGTGCAATACGCGGATATATACTAGTGTTTAATAAAACTTAAAGTGTTTGCATAAAATTGTTTGCAATTTGTTCCTGATATTTGTCGCTATAGTTTGAAGACTGACCACCAGGCTCATCATCGATTACTTCTTCAGCAAATACGTATCATCATCATTATGAAATCGACATATGTTATGAAAAGCACAGCATACATTAATAATTTTAACAACTTTCTGAGGGGTATATGGCAAAACGGTTTGCAAATATTTAAAACAACTTTTAAGCACTCCAATTTGTCTTTCAACTATGTTACGGGCCTGAGCATGTTGCAAATTAAATCTATGTTGCGATGTTCCAGCAGTTGGATTGCGATAGGATGTGAGCAAAAATTGTTCTAATGCATAGCCAGAGTCCCCAAGCAGCCAGGAGCTATGATCACCGCTTTCATAACTAGATAACAAAGACCGCTTTATACTGGATAAATTAAAAACAAAAGAATCATGGCTTGCTCCCGTATGGGACGCATCCCCAGCTTGTAGAACCATTTTATAATCACATACCTGCAAACATTCCAATGTTAATTTTGTATATAATTATTTAACTTACTCAGGGTATTGACGCTAAAATAACCTTTTCTATTTAAATGCAAATCTTCGTTGTCGCGGGGTTTTAGTAATTTGATGTGCGTCCCGTCGGCGCAGTCATTCACTCCAGGAATCGCAAATTTGTTTAAAAAATGTAACTTAGACTGGCGATCTTCATATTGCGTCATCCACTGTGGAGACTGCGTCCGTTCTAAAATATTTAACATCTCTTTTAAAATTTTTGACACTGTCGTCCTATCAAGTGCAATATAAGAACCCTTTTCGATGGATCGTTGGAACCCCCCTTCCACGAGACATCTCAACGTGGCTGCTAATTTCAGCCCAACAGGTATGGACGACGGCTTTATCAAAGACCTAGTATCGTAAATAACATTTTGGAAAAGCTTCTCTTTTTATCCTGTGGTGCGAAACAAAGCTACAAAGAGATGTCGTACGTTAATGTTGGGGAGACAGCTATGTATACACACTTACACAGATATCCAAAGTATTGTAGTGGTCTCTCAGAAGACGTTCCTCAACTCTCTCCTGACTCTTCCAGTTGGTTTGATGTTTTAAATAAGCAGAAAACGCTCAATTTAACGCAAATCTTCAATTCAAAATGAAATACAAGTGTCTGTTGTCTGACAATCACACCTCAAATTAATTCGTGCAATTTGCAATTTCGGTTTCGGAATGAAATCGCGTGATTTCCAGCACATGCCCGTACGAAATATTTTGAAAATGAGTGTGGCCCGGCTCACTTAAAAATAAATACTGTTTCTCAGTAGCCGCTTAACCCACCCCCACCAAACTCGGTATGAACATTACTTAGGGCCAAATTCACAGTGCGTAGTTAACTCAGAATCGGCAGTTAACTACAGATTTTTGTACTGAAAAACTTTAGTTAACTGTCGATTCCGAGTTAACTACGCACTGTGAATTTGGCCCTTAGAGTCTCACTACGAAATCTGATGAAAATTTTTGGAATCGGATAATAACCACGCATACCTCCCATATAACGGAAATTTACAGAAATACGAAAACTGCGATAAATCAGTAATTATTAAAGCTAACTAACTCGAAANTCTCAATGTGTAACAGGCTAACCTAATATTCGCGGCTTGCGTTTTGGTACGCATGCCGTCGAATTTGTTTTTTTGCGTCACCCGAAATTGACTTCCATGCGTTTGCATTTGATTTCATTGAGCGAAACGTCAAATCAAAATGTCACGCAGAACAAAAATTGGAAATTGAGTTAGCTTCATACGCACGCCGTTCAAATTCGGTTGATCTCATACAAGTTGCATGTGCATGAGAAATTTTTGACAATAAATTGGCGGCGTGCGTGAATATTAGGTTAGCCTGTATGTTTGGGATCAGTGATGGGCAAAATTGTATTTACTAAGTATTAAATACTAAGTACAAAAGAATTTAGGTATTTTGTGTTGTTGTAAATACCAAAGTACTATTTACTTAGGTATTTAGGAGCTGCTAAATACCCAAGTAAAAAATATTTAGGTATTTAGGAGCTATTAGATATTAAAGTAAGAAAAACTTGAGTATTTAGGAGCTGCTAGATACCGAAGTACAAAAGACGAAAGTATTTAGTAGGCGCTAAATTCTCTGGTCCAAAGTAGTCATGTACCTTGGGGATGCAAAATACTTTCACTGAAGTACCAAGGTATTTAGTCGATGGGTAAATACTTTCATACTAAATACTGTATAATTTAGGAGAAATTTAGAGAATTAACACCTCACCTTACACTCACCTCAACTTACTTTACCACAACTCAATTCATCTCTCCTCAAACCAACTCACCAAATACAAACTCACCACACCTCCCCTAAACTCACCACACCTTCTATTTCTACACCAAAATCCTACAAATCTTAACTCACCATAGTTGAACTCATCACACCCGTTCTCACCACACCTCACCTAAACTCACCACACCTCAATTTGAGAACTGTCTCGGGATTTGAGAGATTCTTCAGACTAAATCAGGATTTTCAAGACTATTTCGGGGGTTTCGGGACTATTTTGGGATTTTCGAACCTATTTTGTAATTCTTTAGGGATTTAGGGTTTGAGATTTTCGGGACTCTCGGAACTAATATCGGGATTTTCGAGACGACTTTCACAATATTTAGGGACTTTGGGAACTAGTTTTGAGACTTTCGGGATTCTCGAAATTAATAGCGGGATTTTCGGGAGAATTTCGAGATTCTCGGGATTTTTGGGACTCCTGGACTATTTTTGGATTTTTAGGACTAATTTCAAGTTTTTGGGACTTTCGGGACAGTTTCGGGATTTTTGGGACTTTCGGGATTCTCGAAATTAATAGCGGGATTTTCGGGAGAATTTCGAGATTCTCGGGATTTTTGGGACTCCTGGACTATTTTTGGATTTTTAGGACTAATTTCAAGTTTTTGGGACTTTCGGGACAGTTTCGGGATTTTTGGGACTTTCAAGATTCTCGGAACTAATATCGGGATTTTCGGGACTTTTGGCAGTATTTTGCAGTTCTCGGGAGTAATTCCGAAATTTTTGGGACTCAGGAACTATTTTTCCATTTTTGGGACTTATATCGGCCTTTGGGGACTATTTCCAGATTTTTGGGGATTATTTCGGATTTATGGGGTTTTCGGGATTCTCGGGAATAATTTCGGGACTGTTGGCACCTTCGGGGCTATTTAGGGATTTTTGGGACTAATTTCGGATTTTTGGGACTCTCGGGACTATTTCGGTATTATCGGGCGTAATTTAGGTATTTTTGGAACTTTCGGGACTTTTTCCAGATTTTTGGGACTAATTTAGGATTTTTGGGACTTTCGGGTCTATTTCGGGATTATCGGGAGTAATTTAGGTATTTTTGGGAATTTCGGGAGTTTCTTGGAATTTTTGGAAGTTTTAGGACTATTTCGGGATTCTTGGAACTAATTTCGGGACTTTGGGGATTATTTAGAAATTTTTGGAACTCAATTCGGATTTTTGGGACTGCCGGGATTATTTTGAGATTTTCGAGACTACTATGGAGCTTTTGGGACTTCCGGGATTCCTGGGACTAGTTTGGGAATTTTGGGACTTTCTGAAGTAGTTTCGAAAGTCTTAAGGTTCCTATATTAGTCCCAAATTCCCAAATGGTCCCGAAAGTCTCAAAAATCAAAAAATAGTCCCGAAAGTCCCAAAAATCCGAAATTATTCCCACAAATCCCTAAACGGCCTCAAATGTCCCAAAACACTAAAATTAGGCCCAAAAACAAAGATACTCCCGGGAGTCCACAAAAATCCTAAGGTAGTCTCGAAAATCCCGGAATTAATCCCGAGAATCCCGAAATTCCCAAAATTAGTTCCGAGACTCTCAAAATAGACCCGAAAGTCCCGAAATTAGTCAATATAAGCCCGAAATAGTCCTTACAGTCCCAAAAATCTCGAAATTACTCCCGACAAACGCGAAATAGACCCGAAAAGCTCCAAAAGTCCAAAATAAGTCCCAAAAATCTGGAAATAGTCTCGAAAGTCCCAAAAATACCTAAATTACTCCCGATAATCCGGAAATAGTTCCGATAGTCCCAAAAATCCTTAAATGGCCCCGAAAGTCCCAACAGTTCCGAAATTAGTTCCGAGAATCCCGAAATAGTCCCGAAAGTTCCAAAAATCCGAAATAAGGCCCAAAATTCCCAAAAATGGAGGAATAGTCCCAAATGTTCCAAAAATCCGAAATTAATCCAAAAATCCCGAAATACTCCTGAAAACCCCGAAACGGTCTCGAAAGTCTCAAAATTCCAAAAAAAA